CAAAAAACTATGATGGGAAAAAGCATTTTAGCCAGAAGAAACAAGATGGTTAAGATGAGATAAGAGAAAATTTTGCCTGCAAGAAACAAAGAATTCTGTAGTGCTGGTGTTGTATATACAGAAAACAAGGGTAAAACGGTGACAGATGGGATTTAAGATAATGAGGAAGATCAAGTCACACAAGAGCTTGAAGATCAAGAAGAGTGGACAGTTTTACCAGTGTAATGGGAAGTCTTTGAATATTTTAAAGCAGGGAAATAATATGATCCAATTTACATCCTGTAAAGATTACTGTGGCTGCTGGGGAGAAATTTGGTTAGAGGGAGTCAAAAGTGAAAGAAGACTGTAGAAAGACAGCTACAATGGTCCAGGTAAAAAGTAATGATAGTTTGAAAAAGACTGATGGCAATAGGGTGGGGGAGAAACGGATGGGCCTAATAGATATTTTGAAGATAGTATAGATGGTGCTTGGCAATAGAAGGGATCAGCAGAATTTGAGAGAAATGGAGCTGTTAACAATTAATCCCAGGATTATGGTCGGATAATGAGATTAAAGTGGCTGAGAAAGAAATTCATTTGAAACGGAAAAATCAAGAGTAAAGTTTTAAGCAAATTATATTTAAGATGCCTTTGAAACATCAAAACAGACATGCCAAGAAGAGTGCTAGTACATCGATCTGGGGCTCAGAAGAGATCTTAGTTGGAGATATAAATTTGGGAGTCATAGAGTAAGATTGAATGTAAAGAGGTCCTTTGTGACCTTTCTGAGAACAGTTTCAGCAGAGGCAGGAGGTGGGTAGACAGGTGCCAGATTGCAGTGGGTTGAGAGGAAGTTGAGGCAATAGACAACAGATATAGACTATGCTTTCAAGTACTTTGGAGAAAAAGAGAGAGATTAGGAAAAAAGCTTCAGGGAAATGTGGGGGTAGAGTGGAGGTGTTTTAAGATGAGAAGAGTTTTCAGCTTGTTCACAGGCTATGAGGAAAGAGGTAGGCAGGGCAGGATTGAGGATCGGACAGCTTAGGGGTGAGCTGTGTGTGGACTAGAGATCATCAATCTCCAGAGGAGGAAGAAAGAGATGGAATTCTAAGCACAGTGGGCAGGGCCAGCCTAAGAAAGAAATAGAAACACATCTTCCTGTGAAATATAGAGAACTAACTCGGAATGGTGGTGAAGAATAAGGAAATTTAAAGAAGATGAGTGAAAATAAGAGATTTCAGACCTAAAATGCCTTTTTCTTTTATTATTATTATTTTGATGTGCTGAGGTGAAAACGTCTACTGAAAGTGAGTGGATGAGATTAGGGTGCAGATCTTTTTTAAATCTGCACTACCTGATTCCTTCATTATTATTATCCCAAGCCCTTTCCATAGCTTTGTGATGCTTGTGGCTATCAAAACCTCACATGATAGTGTTATTGATTTCAAATTCCAAATATTCTTTAGACTAAATTCCTTGATTGATTTTTCTATATGCCATTAACTCATGTTATGGGACCCCAGGGCTACGAAGCTATTAATCTGCTCCAAGTTCAAGCAAACTTTCAATTTAAGAAGCCTTTATGGCTTTTTCAATTGTACTTGATTAGATGACATCAAGTTAAGCAAAACATCTTTAATTTGTCTCAAAGGACCTAACCAAGGAAAACATTTTGCCAGCCTTGAGATTGTGATAGGAGAGCACATAAACTAGTGAATTTTGTAATGCAGGCAAAGTTTCCACTCTGTTGGTCACAAACATGTGATTGGTTCAACCTTATATCAGTGGGGTGTCTACTTCATCATTCTTATTTCCCAACTGACACTAGAGCCTCTCATTTGTGATCACTTTAATGCTCAGTATAGTCTTAATACACTGTCAAGTCAGAAAGAGCTGTTTCAGAAAATAACACGTTTCTTTGTGAAAAGTTAAAAAACAGATGAACAATCTATTCATTATTTATTAATACTTAGCAACATATTGATTATGTACTTAGGTAGAAACAAGCAAAGTTCATTCAAACTCCACATTGGCATATGCTACTTCACTCCTTAAAATTATTATTCTTAAGATTTCAGAACTCTACATTGGTTTATCTGTTGTTAATAAGGGATATATTTGAAGTAAAACATTGAAGTTAAATTATGCTGTCATCAGAAGCTTCTTCTTTTTTTAAGGATAACATCAATAGAATCAAGGCCTGCCTGGTTTCCTGCATCCACAGGCTACCTTCTCTCTGTAGCTGAAATTGTTTGACCCTTGATCTAAAAGTGAAGTTCAGCTTCTGGGATCTATACTGACCTTTATCAGGGATAATTTAGGGAATACAGACCAGTCTTTGGTTGATTCAGCGTTTCCAACCTAGCCAAGAGTGTTTCCAGTTAGCACTATACTTCTTCCTCCTCCTCCTCCTCTTTCTTCTTCTTCTTCTTCTTTTTCTTCTCCTTCGTCTTCTTCCTCCTCTTCTTCTTCTTCTTCTTCTTCTTATTATTATTATTATTATTTTTGGAGATGGAGTCTCCCTCTGTCACCCAGGCTGGAGTGTAGTGGCATGATCTTGGCTCACTGCAACCTCCACCTCCCGGGTTCAAGCAACTCTACTGTCTCAGCCTCCCAAGTAGCTGGGACTACAGGTGCATGCCACCACACCTGACTAATTTTTGTATTTGTAGTAGAGATGGGGTTTCATCATATTGGTCAGGCTGGTCTCTAACTCCTGACCTCAGGTGATCCCACCCTTTTCAGCCTCCCACAGTGCTGGGATTACAGGCGTGATCCACCATGACCAACATATACTTCTAATTATTGATGCTATGTTCCCTTACTAACCTGTTGATTCAGGATTCCATGATGGAGAGAAGAACACTTGGGCTTGAATTCTTACTTCATTACTTTTTTTGCCGTACGACTCTGGGTAAGTTATTTTACTTCTCTGAGCCTCAGATATACCATCTCTCAAATGTTTTTACAAATACTTATGTCACAAAGGTGTTATATAATACCCAGCTTAGTCTTGCAAATCTTTCTCCTAAGTTTCTACCTCCATAGACTCCTCATTATCCATGTTCTTACAGTTAAGACTTCTTGCTTTTTTTTAGGTATCTTTAGGGATTGCAGTTCTGTGACCAGCTGCTGGATCACTTTGATGATAATTACCACCTTTTCAAATTTGTACATATTAGCTGAGTCTCAGTTACTGGGTTCATCTATCTGTCCAGACAACTAGTTGCATCTTGCTAAACTGCCTCAATGATTGTCATATACCTGGGTCACCGCCTATTATTTGACATCAAATTTGATAACTACTTTGGACTATCTGGCTGCCTTTCCCCATCTCTTCCCCACAAAAGTTACATTTAATTTCTGCTTCATTTGTAGTTTTGATCATTATATGATATATTAAATGGACTTAAAGTCATCTTTTAAAAAAAATGAATAAAGAAATCTTCAAACTTAAAGAAAAATGTCAACCTATAATAGAAAAACTCAGTATTCATTATAAATAAAACATGCATTTTGGGAGACAGTGTTGATAATTTTAGAACTTTCAATTTACAACACAGAATCAGTTTCAAGCATTTGTCAAATTTCATTGCTCCTTTAAGCAAATGACAAAATTCATAAGGTCTTGGAATTTCACAAGGTTGCTGTATGCTAATGTTGTCCAGCAGAAGTCAAGGTAAAAAAATCAAAGTCAACGGAAGAGTGGTCAAGGGTAAAAAACATCTCACATGTATGGGCAATCCATGAGTTATCCTCTTTCTATACCAGTTCCAAAAGTAATGGTTTACTTGTTGAACTAATGTTCTGCATTGTTTATAAAATGTTGTTAGTTATTAATACATGATTAGGTTCATAGTTAATTCCTGTGGTTTGAATGTGGTCATTTTTTGGTATCTGCACCAAAAGTTACCATCAATACTTTATATATCAATACCTTTCAATACTTAGTAACTTCTTTATATAATGAGATTTAAAATTAGAATATTGATTAGGGAATTGTTCACGAATTTTCTTGTACATTCTAGATTTTAGTGGTAGTAGATTAATGTCTATGTTTAAAGTAATTATATAGACACAAACACCTTAATCTATTTCTGTGTATACAGTGGAACTAGAAAGTTAATGTAATTGCTTAATAATGAGACACTGGGGAAACACATTTATCCTTCAACAATACTACAGAGTCACCTGGAATTTTCCCATTTTCTCTTACTTTCTTAATGTTTAGATCTAGAAAGTATTTTAGATAATCTAAATAAACATCTGTCAATTTTTCATGTTACATTAAGTGGTACTATAGTAATGGACTCAATTATCTGCTGAACTTTTTTGCACATCTTAAAACCAAGAAATGGCTTAGCATTGGTTTCACAAATTAATGGTCTTAAATACCTACAAGCTGATGGCTGAGAAATAATCACAAAAAGCCAATAAGATTAAATCTTCATGACGGAAATACTTGAATTGTTAAGAAAGCAATCAGTGAAAAAGCAGCCCAAGAGGACAAACCAAAATTAGTTACTAGACCTAAAAACAATTAAGTCTTTGTCCCAAAGCATAAGCCCCATAAGTACAATTTATCATCTTCTTCTTTTCAGGAGAAAAGACACATTATTCACATAAGACTCTACCATACTATTTTTCTAAAAGACAATTTACAATAGTTTAGGTCAACAGATGATAGCACCAAAAACAATCCCGCAAAGTCTTTTATATTTAAATATCTTTCCTCTCTTATTAATGCAGCTTGGATGTTGGAAGGCTTTGGAGAAACTACACTATGAGAAGTAGAAAGTATGAGTTTATAAATGGGTGAGCTAAAATAAGTGAACTTTCCCTAATTGTTCAAAACTATAACTTCATTGAAATGACCCTTGAGCCACCAGTATAAACCTTTGAACACTTGTCAGGCAAGTGCAGCTAAAAATTCCTAGTATTAATTAACTCAGTGAAAAGTTGAATTCAATTTGGGTCAAGGGAGCACCCCTCTTTTTCATTCCCCTGTCCAAGTAACTCACAACTTTCAATCTCCAGGGTGCAGTTTTGCTCATCCAGTGGATATCTTCGCAGATCCATCATACAGGCAGCTGTAGTTGTGATTCTGATAGGGTGGAGAGAGAAAAAACAAAACATTACAAAAATGATGACATTTCATTTCGAGGCTTCCTAGCCCCAAATCATATTTACCAGTTGGCAGAAACAAGGCATCAAAATTTTGTGAGATTTAAGAAACTATTATGAATAATTATATGTCAATAAATTGGATAATCTAGATGGATAGGTGGAAATGGATAAATTTCTAGCAACATATAACCTACCAAGACTGTGTCAATAACAAATAGAAATCTGAACAAACCAGTAATGAACAAGGAGGGGGAATCAGTAATCAAAAACTTTCCAACAAAGAAAAGCCAAGTGCCAGATGGTTTCATGGGTGATGTCTACCAGACAGACATTCAAAGAAAAATTAATACTAGCCTTTCTTAAACTGTACCACAAAATAGAATAGGGAAAACTGCCAAATTAGTTATGAGGCCAGCTTCACTCGAATTCCAAAGCCACACAGACAATACAAGAAATGAATGGTACAGGCCAATATCCCTTATGGTATTAGATGCAAACATTCTCAATACTAGCAAATGAAATTCAACAGCATATTAAAACTATCATACACCATGACCAAGTGGGATTTATTACTGGATGCAAGGATGGATATGCAACAATCAAGAACATATACAAATCAGTCAATGTGATACAACATATATATTAATAAAATAAGACCCACATGATCATCTCAATAAATGCAGAAAAATTAGAACTTTTCCTCTAAGACCTGGAAGAAGGCAAGTGTGCTCACTCTTGGCCTTACTAGTCAACATGGTACTGAACCCCCAGCTGGAGTAATCGGTAAGAAAATTAAATAAAAGGCATCCAAATCAGAAATAAATAAATAACATTATCTCTTTTTGCAGATGACATGATTATATACATAGAAAATTCTGCAGACTCTGTAAAAACTATTAAAACTAATAAATTCAGTAAAATTGCAAGATGCAAAATCAACACACAGAAATCAGTAGTATTTTTATATGCTAATAAACTCTCCAGAAAGGGAAATTAAGAGAACAATTTTATTTATGTTAATAACAACAACAAAGTACTTAGGAATTAACTCAATCAAAGAGAAGAAAGACCTGTACATTAAAAATTATAAAACATTGATGAAGGTAGTTTAAAAAGGCAAATATATAGAATGACATTCCATGTACATGGCTTGGAAGATTGAATATTGTTAAATTGTTCATACTATCTACCCAAAGTCATTTTATAGGTTCAAAAATCCCAGTGGTATTTTTTTACAGAAATAGAAGAAATAATCATAAAGTTTATATGGAATCATGAAAGACTCTGACAAGACAAAACCATCTTGAGCAAGATCAAAACTGTTCTAATTTACATTTCCATTCACGGTGTATAAGGGTTCTTCCCCCACCACACTCTTGAAAACACTTTTTTCCTTTGTCTTCTTACTAATAGCCATCCTCACAGGTATGAGGTCGTATTTCACTGTGGGTATAATTCACATTTTTCTGATGATTAGATATGTTGAGCACCTTTTCATATGCATTTTTCCCATCTGAGTTTCTTCTTTGGAAATTGCTCATTTTAAATGGAGTGATTTGTATTTTGTTATCGAGTTGTATGTGATTTTTATATGTGTTAGATATTAATGTATATTAATTTGTATATGATTTGCAAATATTTCCCCCCATTCCATAAGTTGCCTTTTCATTTTGTTTATTGTTTTCTTTGCTGTATATAAGCTTTTAAGTTTGATGTATCCCACTTATCTGTTTTTGCTTTTATTGTCTGGGCTTTTGGTATCATATTCAAAAAATTATTGCTGAGACCAACGTCAAAAAAGTTTTTCCTTTTCGGAAAGGTTTTTTGCTAGTCGTTTTACAGTTTCGATATTTATGTTTAAGTATTTAATCCACTTTGAGTTGATTTTCATGTATGGTATGAGATGAGGTTAAATTTATATATGTATGTATGTATTGATTTATTTTGCATGTGGATATCCAATTTTTCAAAAACTATTTGTCAAAGAGACTGTCCTTTCCCCATTGTATGCTCCTGGCACCTTTGTTGAAAATCAGTTGACCATAAGTGTATGTGTTTATTTCTGGTTTCTCTATTCTGTTCCACTGGTCTGTATATCTGTATTTATGCCATTACCATAGCGTTTTGATCATAATACATTTGTATTACAATGTGAAGTCAGATAGTGTAATGCCCCCAGGTTTGATCCCAAGGTCTATTGATTATGATATTGGCTCTAGATTTTTCATACATAGTTTGGATTATGTTAAGGTAAGTTCCTTTTATGCCTATTTTGTTGAAAGCTTTTACTACAAAAGATGTTGAATTTTGTCAAATGCTTTTCTGTATCTATTGATACAGAATTATGTAGTTCTTAATCCATCATTCTTCTAATGTGTTATATAACACTAATTAATTCACATACGGTGAACCATCCTTGCATCCCAGTAACAAATCCATCTTGGCCATTGCATATAATCCTTTTAATTTGCTATGGAATTTAGTCTGCTAATATTTTATTGAGGATTACATTACTTTTATAAATAATGTAACAAATTCATTATTTGCAATAGCTATATTTCAATGATATCATAATAAAGCTATTAAAATATTTTGTGGCTAAAAATTTTAAAGTTAGGCAGATTGACTTTGAGTCTTAACTTTGTTGCCTGCAAGTGGTGTGAGTTTGCTTTAGTTAAATTATCTCCTTGCAGCTCATTCCTCTCATTAATCAAAGCTCCTACTACACAGGATTGCTGTGAGAATTAAAGGAGATAGTGTATGCAAAGCTTTTAGCCCAGCACCCCATACTTAATAGGTACTCCCTAAATGATTATCATTATTATAGCTGTTATGATGTCATGACCCTTTCCATTTTTATCACCCCAGCAATATCTGTATCACTATCTGCAGAATTTGTGAATAGGAGGAATCTACATTATACATAAAAGCTTATCTTCCTCTCTTGCTACAACTAAATACAACATCAGCAGCAACAGCAAAACCAGCCTCTGTGACTTTTGGTGCCTCACACTTCCCATTACTAGAGAGATTTGTCAGATTTATCTCTGAAAGTCTCGTCTACTTATATTTAGCAGGTAGCATATAACCAGGGAAGAAACACTATCCTGGGATTTGAGTTTACACCATGTTCACCACCCCCAGTTGGGCTTTTGTGTTTATTCAAACTCTAGGACCTAACTCTGTATAACCTATCTGGACTTCACTATCCCTCCATTTTCTCTTGCCTGGTATGGTTTTCTGGGTTGTGAAGTCTGAGAGTAATTGAAACTCAGATGGTGAGTCCGCCTTTGCAAGATTTTGATTCACTTTTGAATTGACAAAGAACTTTAAAAAATGTAATGGTCCTTCCCATAAAGTGTAATCATAAGTTAAAAAAAACAAAAATTCAAATTAGTTGATGTTTCTTTTTTTATCTTAATCTCCAGGAACTACAGTTGCAAAGTTTCTAAAAATATTCTATTCAAATAGAAGCACAGCTGTGTCTTCTTATGGAAAAATCCTCTTAGACAGTAGCCTACCTCACACACTCCTTTGGCTCTTGCTTATTTTCTTCAACAATGCATCTTAAATTTGGTTCTGTATTAATAAATAATAAGCTGTCTTCAAACATTTACTAAAATTGTGTGGAAATGCCATAATTTATTTTCCTAATCATCCTTTGGTGGGTATTTGTGTTGTCTTCATTTTATTTTTTTTCAAATGAAAGTGCTCTGAATATACTGTAGTATATTATGTACACAACATATATACTCTACTACAGTATACTGTATAAATATGTGTATATATATACAAACACTAATCTATTTACATGCATACTTTCCCTCTTTCTCTCTATATATTATATATATGGAAATGCTCTGAATATACATCAGAGTATTTTTTGAGGCTTCCAAGGTGGGTCATTGCTTAGGTCATTTGTGCTAAACTATCAGCAATAAAGGCATCTTTTTCTTTTTCTTTTTTTTTTTTTTGAGACAGAGTTTCGCTTGTTACCCAGGCTGGAATGCAGTGATGCGATCTCGGATCACTGCAACTTCTGCCTCCTGGGTTCAAGCAGTTCTCCTGCCTCAGCCTCCCGAGTAGCTGGGCAGGTGTGAGCCACCATGCCCAGCTAATTTTTGTATTTTTAGTAGAGACGGGGTTTCACCATGTTGACCAGGATGGCCTGAATCTCTTGAGCTCATGATCCACCTGCCTTGGCCTTCCAAAGTGCTGGGATTACAGGCGTGAGCCACCGTGCCAGGCCTAAGTCATCTTTTTCTTAAAGGAAAATGAAAACCCCTCCCACTTTCCAATTTCGCTTTGGCTTTCATTATGAAAGATGAAAGCTCACAGATGTGAACATTTTCACATACCTTTTGAAGTCTTTCATAGACAGGACATTGGTCAATTTACTTGAATTTATTTAAGCATTACACCAGAGCAAAATAATTCTAAAGTTTAATTTTTTTTCCCAAATGTTTAACAAAACATTATACTTTCATTTCCCATGATCATATGGGTTGATTAATTTATTTATTTAACAATACATAATGAATATCTTCTATTGTCTAAAAATACAGGGAGGGAAACATCATACACTGGGGTCCGTTGAGGGATGGGGGACTGGGAAGTGATAAGAGGGGGAGGGGAGATTAGGGAGGGACAACATTAGGAGAAATACCTAATGTAGGTGATGGGGGATGGAAGCAGCAAACCACCATGGCACGTGTATACCTATGTAACAAACCTGCAAGATCTGCAGATGTACCTCAGAACTTAAAGTAAAATAAAAACCAAAACAAAACAAAGAAACAAAAACTACAATTCTTCAACGTTCTTTTTTTAGTCCCATAGTGATTCAAACACCCTAAATAAAACAACCACTATAAATACTAAAAATTCACTCGTCTACTATACTTCTTTACCATATTTTTCATTTAACATCATCTTATGAATTAACAAATTGTCAAAAGGGAAACATTCTCTGGGAAT